GAGTCTTCAAACTTGGCCAGTTTAAGACTTGTGGACTTCCAACTCCCAGAATTCCTGAGCTAACATGACTGGAGGAGGAATTCTGGGAGTTGAAGTCCACAAGTCTTAAAAGCTGTTAAGTTTGAAGACCCCTGTTCTATTCCCAAAGCTCTCTCCCCTCTAATTTGGGAGGGAGGATAAAGAGTTGGAAGATAGATATGTTAATTTATGCAAGGAGAAAGAATTTATTGATCCTTTTGTTTCTCTAGTATCTGGTTAAATATTTTCCATAATTTCTCCTGAGCCTTAGCATATACAATGTAAAGTTCTTTATTTTGAAGAATGATAGCCCCAATCAATTTTACATTATGTAAATACTATTTACAAAGTGTTGTTTCTGCTGGGGAGAATAAGGACAAGATAGTAAGGATCATTTTTCAAAATGCAATTGCTGCTCGCATCCCACAAAAATTTGTATATATCCCATGCGTACAAGGCCACAGGAACAAATAATAAACCTTCAAGAACAGCATTTGGCCACCAATGTCACCTCAACTCCTGTCATTCATTGTTTATACCAATTATCTACGTGCAAATATGTAGAAGTTCACCCCATTTTTCCTTCATCCTTTACAAACTTTATATCTATATCTATATATAAAAATGAAATATCACTCACGCATCATCACAAAATCTTCAGAACCATAAAGCCTACAAACTTGAAAATTGGCACATGTGTTCCTCTTGGCTTCTAGGTGCTCACTAAGAAAGGATTTTTCGAAATGACCATCAGAGCAGTGGTATTTCCTATATTATTATTATTAACATGCTCTGATGCTAAAGAGTTCTACTCCCCTTCCCCACCTGAAAAGAAATCTCTTCCAAGTCCAAAACACAAGCAGAGGAGAGGAGTTTCAGTCTTTGTTTCAGAGCACCAAGCAGCTTTAGTACAGAACAGTTGAGCTAAGCCACGCCCAGGCTCCTTGCTGGCTCCTTCTTGCTCACACAGCAAATACTCTTTCAGTTTCAAAACAGCCCTCAACTCTCTCACACACTGACAGGATGCTAGCCAGATAAATACCAATGGATGCTGGTAGGCAGAGGCACAATTTTCCCCCTTTATTTTCCTCCCCAAAAACTAAGCCCGACCACATAGTTTTGTAGCAAAGCATGGGTATCAAACTAGTGTTTTTTTTAATAAAAGGAATAGAAACAGAGAAGATAGAAAGAATAAGATAGAAATGAAAGGATACGATAGCATCAAGTGATTAAAAGAATTGCAGTGCAAATGGGCTGGTCGCAGAGGAAGAAGAACGGATGGCAGGTGGACCAAAGCAATCAGAGAATGGATCCCACTCGATCAAAAACATCCACCAAAGAGACTTAAAGCAAGTCCTTGACTTACAACAGTTTTCGCTTAGTTGCAACGGCACTGAAAAAAGTGACTTATGACCATTTTTCACACTTCCACACTTCACAGTTGCAGCATCCAATGGCCACGTGATCTACATTAGGATGTCTTGACCACTGATTCACATTTACGGCGGTGGCAGGGTCCCTGGCGGGGCCATGTGATCACATTTTTGCAACCACCTGACCAGCAAAATCAACAGGGAAACCAGATTCACTCATAAATTTAGCAACCGCCGTGGTTTTACCACTTAAAAAATGTGGCAAGAAAAGTGGCCAAACTCACTTAACACATGTTTCGCTTAACAATATCAATTTGGGGGCTCAGTTGTGATCGCAAGATTGAGGACAAATCTGTATTGTGGGCTCAAGGAGCAAAGAAAAGCTCAAGGCCGTATTGGTTGGAAACATACAGAAGGGGCCTTCACCCTGCAGTCGATAGACACCGGCTAAAATGATGACGATAAGACGTGTTGTTAAAACAGGCAGTTCATCTTTTTAACACTCTGAGCTCTTAGGGTGAGTACAAATGGCCTTTTCTTTTCTTTTTGAGGTGCAAATCTGCTGTGGAGCTGGCAGCAGATTCAGACAGTGAGGAGGTTGCGGGGGGGGCGGGGGGACATGGGCCAGTCCTGGAGTCTGGGGAAGGCTCTGATGAGTGCTCTGCTTCAGAAGCAGAGATGGGGCCAGGGCCATCCAACAGTTATCAGCTGCCTTTGAAGATCAGTGGGGCAGAAGAACAGCTGGAGCCTGTTCCTGATGTGCGCATGCACAGAGCTGCCAGAAGAAGGGAACAGTTAAGGAACAAGGGTTGACTCGGGAGTAAAGCCATAGGTGGATGGTGAATGGCCCCTCCCATAGGGAATGAAGAGGAGCGAAAGGGGAGCGGCGTCTGCAGGAGACAATTAGTTCAATTCATTAGGGTGAAGATCTGCTCCTGATATCTCGCCAAGTAATTGCTGCTACAGCGTGGCATTTGGAAGATATCGGCCTGGCAACTCTCCAAGCCTGATAAAGGTCTGTGATGTGAAATCTCTTGAAAGGCTGTTTGCCAGGACTTTGCTGGAGAGGAATTCATTTTAACCTACATAAAAGGGGTTTTATCGGGATGAGGAGTATGCTTCATGATTTTACGAAGCCTGGGTGAGAACATCTGCTTTCTACTGAATTTCAAAAAAATTTTTTTTTGAGAAATAAATCTGAACTTTGAGTCCCTTGCCTATAGAAAATCGCCAAGGTGAATTGTCCTGCTCCTATAGCCAGCTTCTTGTCTGGAAAAGCATTCCCACATGCAGAACTCATAGCTCTGCAGGTTTGAAATAATGTTGTCCTCTGTGACATCTGGAAGCTGCAATGGCCCAAAAGAAATGTCATAAAAGCAGTCAGGGGAGAAAATTCATTTTTCATTGGAAAGTACCAAGAAGACAGGTTAGAGTCTAGATAGCAGGCGCTGTGAAGAGACAGGCGTCATCCCGATGAAGGATAATGCTGTAGAAATCTGCCTCTTGGGCCATTGTCTCTTCCTGGTGCTCTAATTCCTCATCCAGAGCCTTAAAAGTTTAATTACATTTATCCTTAATGAACAGGGGCAGGCTTGCTGTAAGCTGAGTCATCTGTGCTTAGTCTGTGTACTGCAAATAAACACAATTTAACGAAACACGAAAGGACATTGATGTTATGTCCTTTTAAATGAAAATAAGCACTGGGACATCATACTATCCAGGGAAGTTCTATCTTTGTAGATAAATCTTCCATGGGATATTCTGCTCCTTGTCTCATTTAGTAGCTTCTTCCTTGTTTTTTCCCCCCCCAAGTGATAAACTGTGCTCTGTGCATTGAACCCTTCCCTAAAAGCTGCTTCAAATTAAGCCATCATCCACTGTTATAAATGATTCTTTTTAAATATTTCTCTAAGGCACACAACATATTCCTAGGCAACGTTTAGTTAAAAGATCACCTTAATTATGACAATTATCCATTTTCACAAATATTCTCTGCAGGAGCAGCTAGTATATTATGCGGTATAAAATCTTAACTCACAATGCTTTGATGCAACGTATTTTAAGAAACAACAACTCGATATTCTGTTAGATCAGGGCTGTCCAACCTTGGCAACTTTAAGACTTCAACGGGCTAGCTTGGGAATTCTGGGAGTTGAAGTCCATCACTTGAGACCTTCAAGAAGAGATTGGACTGCCATTTGTCAGAAATGGTGTAGGGTCTCTCGCTTGGGCGGGGGTTGGACTAGATGACCTATAAGGTCCCTTCCAACTCTGATTATCTGTTAGGGCTTAAAGTTGCGAAGGTTGGACACCCCTGTGTTAAATTAATGAAAGTCACAGTACTTGCTGCAGAATCTCTACAAGTAAGCTTAAAAGAGATGGAGATACACAAAACTTTGAAATGGAACGTGCTGGAAAATGCTAGAACATTCTGTTCCATATCTGCCATATTCTGGTGTTCTGAGATGTAGTTCAGCAATACCTTATAAGTTAATTCATTGAACTGGAAGCAGATTGTGGCGTCCTGGATCCTATGTGCCAGAAAAATGTTCTCGATTTGTGAGATTTGCATGAAGCTACATACGAAAACATAAGACATTCCCTAACAGAGCAACAGTACTGGAATATGGAGTGGACTGAGAAATGCAAACCCAATTAAATCCATAAACCAGATTATTTGTAGCTCAAAGTTGAAATGTGGTGCTCTCTGAGCTTGGTGATTTTCTTGCAGATGTTTCATTACCCAACTAGATAACATCATCAGTTGTTAGAAGGGAGTGGAAAGGAGGAGGAGGAGGAGGAGGAGGAGAACAACTGGGGATCCTTGTTGCTCTCCAAGCTTGGTGATTTTCTTGCAGACATTTCATGACCCAACTGGGAAACATCATCAGTGCTAGAAGGGAGTGTGTTGAGGTAATTCCCCTGAATGAGTGCATACAGGGAGACGTAGTGAGAGAAGTGTTGAATAATACACACACAGCACACAGATACACTGTACAGTAAATGTAGGTTTTTACTTCCAGAAAGGTTTAAGCAAAGTTCAAAACAAGCAATCAAAAGTCATTTACAGGTAAGTCAGTCAGTTTTCAATCCAGGGATAATCCAATAACAAAGTCCAGTGTCAAAAACAGTTCAGTATCAGACTTACATCAAATCCAGGAATAGCAGTCAATTAGGAAGAACGGCAAAACTCTCCAACAGAAGGAAACAGAGAGACTCACTGAGACACAGACTCTTCTGAGACTAAGACTAAGACAACCCAGGTTTCTGGCTCCATCTTATGGCCGTTTGAGAAACCATACCCAATTACAAGTTTTGCATTTTCTTAAAGATACAGTAGTAAAATGTCTATCCTGGTTTATATATTTCCAACCCAAATTACTGTTAGGTGACTTATATACCTAACAGAGTGCCTTTCTTTTTTTAGCACTGATGATGTTGCCTGCTTGGGTCATGAAATGTCTGCAAAAAAACACCCAGCTCAAACCCAAATATGGATCCCCTTCAGTGTAAGGAATCAGTATAAGCAAAAACATGATTCTAATTGACTGGGGAGGAGCTAAGAAGTAATCATCCATTTCAATAATTTACTGCTTTTTCTGCACAAGACTTTATGATGTAAGCCTACAAAAACTAACTTGCAATAATTAATAATATTGCTAAGACAAGTAAACATTTCTGCAGGTGGGAGGATTGAAGGACCACAAATGGAAAATGGACTTAGTGTCAAGAATAAGGCCTAATGTTAAAAGCAACATTAGAAATAAGATCCATTCCTCTATGATACTTTTGGTGCTCTCCCCTGAATGTTTACATTTAATATTAGGATCACAGCAAAATCAATGTCTTGTCTTTCTGACTGTCTCAATTTAACTCGATAAAGTCTTTAAGCATAAGGGGGACAAAAAAAAAAGACAACTTTTTTTTCAAAAACAAAATCTAAAATATTTAGCAATATATCCAAGGTGAATTTGCACCAATAAAACCAGAATACGCCTTAAATTACTACAAGAAACATGAAGTTGCTTTCCACTTCGCTGATTTGAACACACTTAAAATAGTTCCTACGGGTCGAAAATGTTTGTTTGATACTTTCCATGAAAATCCTGCATTTAGTGTCCTTCTAAAGACTCCAGAATGGCTTATACGGCATTTGGATATTAATTAATGGTACCCATCAGAAATTAAATTGATGGCTAGTTTAGAGGAAATCCCTGTTGTGTTTTCAAGCAATGGATTTGGATATGTGAGATCTGAAGAACCGGAAGAAGCAACTGGAAAGCGTCTTGAATATACACAGTGCTGTTACAGCCCTAATGAGAAAAGAAAATATTATTATTAGCATAATATTAGCATAAGAATAAAGTATTATTAGCAAATATAAGAGCTGAAGAAGCTTCTTGGATGAGAAGCAATCCTAAGTTGCATTAACAGAGGGATACAATCGAGATCAAGTGAGGTACTAATACCACTCTATAAAGCCTTAATAAGACCACACCTAGAGTAGTGCATCCAGTTTTGGTCACCACACTATAAAAAAGATGTTGAAACTCTAGAAAGAGTGCAGAGAAGAGTAACCAGGATGATGAGGGGATTGGAGGCTAAAACATACGGTGAATGTTGCTGGAACTGGGTATGGCTAGTCTAGTGAGGAGAAGGACCAGGGGAGACAGGAGAGCAGTGCTCCAATATTTGAGGGGCTGCCACAGAGAGGAAGAAGGGGTCAAGCTATTCTCCAAAGTATCCAAAGGCCAGACAAGGAATAATGGATGGAAACTGAACAAGGAGAGATTTAACCTGGAAACAAGGAGAAACTTTCTGACAGTGAGAACAATCAATCCATGGAACAGAAGTTGCCTTCGGAAGTTGTGGGAGCGCCATCACTTGAGACTTTCAAGAAGAGATTGGACTCCCATCTGTCAGAAATGGTATAGGGTCTCCTGCTTGGGCGGGGGTTGGACTAGATGACCTATAAGGTCCTTTCCAACTCTGATTATCTGTTATCTGTCTTCAAAAAAAAACCAGAAAGTCCAGTTGCCTCTTGGAAGAAAAAAAAAAAGCACCTTTGGGACTATTATGAGCAAAGTGTGGCATTTTTTATGAGCTCAAGGGATCTGTTTCCAATAAAGCTAGCTGTCAACTCTGACGTTGTCCTGACTGAAGCCATCTTTAAGGCTTCAGGGTTGCCACAACAGACATGAGGGTTAGGGAGGGGGAATTAGAGATAGCTGGGGGTTTGTAGCCAAATCAAAAGACTTCCCCCTGGGAACCAAGGACATTCCAACAGGTGGCTGAAGAGAGGAGGAGGAGTGATGTTACCAAGCAACTGGACAGCGCCCTGATTGGACCATGTGGCTGTTTGGGAAAAGGGGAAAACGTTTACTTTTAATTGGGTGAAAACCATGGGATCCTTTAGAGTCGGTTTTCACCAGCTTGTGCCAATATGATAAATCAAATAAAATTGTTCTGGGAGGAATCTACCTGCCTCAGAGTTCTGATTGTTATGGGTGTATTACTTGGAATCCTGATACTAGCATCTCAAATGATCATATTTGCCAAAAATACAACCTTATTCCCCAAGATTGAAACTGTAGCAGCCTGTATGTCAACTCATAAAATATTTCTATGGTCTTTTTAGAGTTGCCAACAGAAAGGGAGGCGGGAGCGGTGGAGCAGCTTGCAAAACCGAAACTGCATTCCATAAGTGTTTTCAAAGATAGTAACTAGGTGACTGAAGTTTCTGCCACGCAAAATTCTAACTGGAGAACATGATTGATGGCTCTTGGCTATGGATGTGTCCCATTGGAGAATATGAATTATGATACACACAGGCAGTGCCAGTATGTTAACTCCCCAATAAATTCTTTTGAAGTTTTGGAAGTTTGGCTCGAGACTCATGATTTAAATTGGGGTAACTGCCGGAACCCTGACACTGTACAGGTAGTCAATGGGGAAGCCAGAAACTGGCTGGCTATCTGGTCTTACCATGCACATGCATGTTAGAAGCTGGAAGAGCAGGTGGCTGGCATGCATGCATGCACCAGGAGCTGCTCTTCTGGTTTCTGGTGCGTGCGCACTCCCGTTTCAGCACTTAACCAACACTGACCTACCTATACCATTTTAGATAAGTGGCTGTCCAGTCTCTTCTTAAGAACCTCCAGTGATGGGGCACCCATGATCTCTGGAGACCACCCTTTCCACTGGTTAATTGTTCTCACTGTTAGGAAGTTTCTCCTTAATTCCAGGTTGTTGCTGTCCTTCATTAGTCTCCATCCATTGTTTCTTGTGCTGCCTTCTGGTTCTACTACATTTTCTGGCTTTTCATAGGGTATCAATGCAGGTGAGAAGATGATAGCCAATTGGCTTCTTAGATAAAGTAGATATGGGCCTTACTTACCTCAGATAGCACACTATTGACCATTGGATTCAGAATTTCAGCTTTCTTGTCACTCTGTTTAAAGGAAAACACAGAGAAAGAAAATGTCACCAAATGAAATTCCGATAAAGGGAAAATATTGACTTACTCTCACAGAAACAGGCTTTGTGTTCATTGACCAGCTATAGAATGTAATTTTCCTCAACACTGAACATCTGACAGACATGGAGCTAAAGGACTGGCTTTAAAACCAAAATGTGTTAGAAATTTTTGCAAAGGATCTGAGTCCACGGTGGGGGATTTAATTGCATATGGGAATTTAAAACACACACACTCTCTTCCAATTTGTAGTGTGAAATAGTCACTGTCAGTGAACAATGTCAGGGTTGGTGGGAGTTTTCTTGGCAGAAAGGAAGCTAACAAGCCAAAACACTTCCTCACCAGCAATCCACACCCAGATAAGCAGAAATTAACAAGAATGATACTACACCAATGATCAAGATGTAAATAATATTTTAATCAGACCTACTAAGGCAGACAAGCAAGCTAACAGTAAACAACAGCCTAATCAAGGGATTATCAACATCACTCCCACCAACACTGACAGGGCAAATCACTAGTATATAAACAGCAAACAAACCCCCATTCCCTTCTACTCTGATGATGTTCCCTAGCTGGGTCATGAAATGTCTGCAAGGAAACCAGTCAATCTCAGAGTGTACCCACAGTCTTCATATCCCTCCTCCTCCTCCTCCTCCTCTTACTACTACTACTACTACTACTACTACTACTACTACTACTCTTACTACTACTACTACTACTACTACCTCCCATTCACTTCTAAAACTACAGTAATGATGTCACCTAGTTGGGTAATGAAACATCTGCAAGAAAACCATTAGCCTAAGAGAACAGCAAGGACCCCACAGAATATATATGATTTTGATATGTATTTTCATTTAATTAAAATGCATGCAATTAATTGCAAACAGCCAAGCAAACTTACATCATGTCGTACATATCACACAGTGCACTGCACCCACTACTTTTCCAGAAAATTAATAATATCTGTGTTCTCTAAAGACTTTCTCCCTTTAGTTGCTGAGAAGGATTGGTTCTGACTAGTTTAGAGCCAAGTCATACAGAGTTTACTTCAGGAAATCTTTCCCAGCTTATTTAGTTCTTACTACAGTCTTTATAATCTGCTTGTCTCATATTTTATCCCCTTATTATCCAAAAACTTCCTGCAGAGTAAAGCCATTGGCTATAAAACTTGGCAATTATTGGCACCTTTGATGAAACAGAGTGGAGAAAAACTTGTCACTTAAAAGCTATACTATATTTGCATAAGAATTTGCACCAAACAAATTCCTTGTGTGTCCAATCACACTTGGCCAAGAATTCTATCTATCTATCTATCTATCTATCTATCTATCTATCTATCTATCTATCTATCTATCTATCATCTATCTATCTGATTAAGAATAGATGATCACTTTTTTTGGCTTGTGGTTCTGTGAGAAATATGTTATGTGCATTGGATGATGATTAGAGAGATACCATTTAAATGCCCCTATTTGCTCCCTCACTCTCTGGCTTAGTTTATTAAAGAATAACACATGAAGTAATAAAAGAAATGAAATTGTGAAATGACTTACCGCAACCAAAGTCAAAACATTGGAAAATTGTTTTGAGAGGGATGACACTTCATTGCACATCATATTTGTTAAGCTGTGGAAAACATAATGGGAATATGAGTGTTTGTCCATTGTAATCAGCATATTCTTGAATATTTCAGACCAAACTGCAATCTAGATGATTACCCATTCATTATTACTACCTTAGACAAAGAATAGGAATATCCAATCTGGGTCAGTCATTGGGACCAAAGATTTAATCTTCCAAGTTTTCGGACTCGTGCTGGAAACGAATCCACAGGAAATTTCTCTCTAGCAGAGTGTTTGCTATTCCATGTGTGGTATTTATATGGCTTTTGTATGTGGCTTTTTAGATATTGATTGGGGTGTGCTGATGGATGGCCATTAAATCGTCAGCTGTTGTTTCCTTGGGCTCAGAGGTGGGTATTCAACAGGTTCTGACCAGTCCTGGAGAACCAGTAGTGGAAATTTTGAGTCGTTCGGAGAACCAGCCAATCCCACCTCTGACTGGCCCCACCCCCATCTCTTCTCTGCCTCCTGATTCCCAGCTGATCAGCTGGGTCTTCTTTTGTTGCCCTGCACAGGAGAACAGAGCTGGAAAGCAGGTTAGTGGGGTGGGGAGGGAATGGAGATTTTGCAGTATCCTTCCCCTGCCCTCCCCACCAAGCTATGCCATGCCCACCAAGCCACACCCACAGAACTGGTAGTAAACTTTTTTGAATCCCACCACTGCTTGGGCTGCCAAGCCCTTGCCTCCTAAGTACTTGATAAATAGTGATAAGTCAGCACTCCTATTGGCCTGTTTCCCAGGCTTCAATCACTTCCCTGGCTGCTTTTGTACCTGCTCGTCCAACAATCTTAGTAGCTGCAAAATTGAATGTATGTCCTTATTCATTGCAGTGTGAGGCTACCAATGAGTTCGGTCTCCTCGTCTGACCACTTGTTTTTTTGTTTTTTGTTTTTGCAGTGTGGGTTTAGCTTCCTCCCCATCTGTCCTATATAATGCATGCAGGATTGCCCCTGTACTGTTATATTTGCTCATGGATATAACATACTAGCTCGATACCCATGCTTCACTACAAAACTATGAGGTCAGGCTTAGTTTTGGAGAGGAAAATAAGGGGGGAGAAATTGTGCCTCTGCCTACCAGCATCCATCAGTATTCATCTGGCTAGTGTCCTGTCAGTGTATGAGACAGTTGAGGGCTGTTTGGAAACTGAAAGAGTATTTGCTGTGTGAGCAAGAAGGAGCCAGCAAGGAGCCTGGGCGTGGCTTAGCTCAACTGTTCTGTATTAAAGCTGCTTGGTGCTGTGAAACTGAAACTGAAACTCCTCCCCTCTGCTTATGTTTTGCATTTGGAACATATTTCTTTTCAGGTGGGGCGGGGGAGTAGAACTCCTTAGAATCAGAGCATGTTAATAATACTATAGAAATACTAATACTCTGATGGTCATTTCAAAAAATCCTTATTTAGTGAGGACCTAGAAGCCAAGAGGAACATATGTGCCAGATTTCAAGATTGTAGACTTTACAGTTCTGGAGATTTTGTGATGATGCATGAGTAGTATTTTGCTTTTATATAGAGAGATTTACATAAATTTACATAAACATTCCACTTTGATCGGTCATCATATGACACATAACATACACAACAGCAATTTTTTTCCCCAGTGGAACTCAGCTTTGCCTTTTGATTCATTGCTTTCCCCCCAAAATACCGTATTTGCCGGCGTATAAGACGACCCGGCGTATAAGACGACCCACCACCACCACCGGAAACGCCCTCCAGAAATCCCCGGGGCTGCAGCGGCAGGGCGGAGTGCCAGGGGCCGTGGGAAGAGCAGGAAGGCTGCAGCCTCGGGCGGAGCGAGGCGAGCGGGATGAAGCGGAAGCGACGCAGGGGATCCGGGAAGCCACAGGCGCCTTCGCTGCGTCCAACAAGCATCCGAAAGCCGGCAGTGGATATACCGGCATATAAGACGACCCCCCCACTTGGAGGCATGTCTTTCGGGGCAAAAAAGTCGTCTTATACGCCGGCAAATACGGTAATCCAAATAATGGGACATTTTCAAACATTGCAAACATTAAGTTAAAACATCACTTAAAGAGGTAATGGGTGATCATAGAAATCTTGGAAAGACTTGGCTACTTTTACACAATTTTAGCCATTTTTAAAATTAGGGTGTTTTTTTTTTAAATGGAAAGTCATTGGACTCCATCTACAAGTACTCATTTAGCAACTGCAGTTGAGACCAGCAACTTGGTCATTCAGTAAA